GTTCCAGCTCGCGGGACTGGCCTAAGGGATTTTAAAGGGGTTTTAATTACTTTTAAATTTGACGTATCTAAATATTTCTTTTTAATCAATTTTTAATTAGATGTATATGTTAGTATTTTAATCATTGTCAGCCGCCCTGAGTCCGCAAGGAGAAGGGCGGGATACAAATGTAATTAAATAAATAAATAAATAAATAAAACATTCCACGTGGACGTGTCTCCAGCACCAGTTAGGAAACCTAGCATGATCTTAGTGGGAGATGCCGGGTTTTTTTGGGTCCTCTTTGATTATTTTGCATTTTGGTGCGATTTCAGCGGCTCCAGATTGTAAGAATCCCGATGGGGCTTTTCGCCTTTCACGGTCCAAAGAGATAACGGATAAAATCATCGCAGGGAGCCACAAAATGGGCTTGGGTGGTTATGGACCTCCAGGCACCTACCTCGCTTCCCATCAAGTGGTAAAGCTTCACCGCCCCCTTGGCATTTGCCATGCCTAACACAGGATGCCCTGCAATGGGAACATGGCACCTTGAAGCAGAAGAGAGAGGAAAGGTATCAGCAGAGGTCCAACAGATAGAAAAAAATTCCCTCCCTCCCTCATTTCCAGCTTGACTCAACCCAAGTCTTGGGTCCAGAAATTATGACACTGACTGAAAAGGATTTTAAAAAGCATGCTACCCATTTTACAGAAGGAAGAGCAAGGCAAAAATAACATTTTATTTATCTATCTATCCACCTTGAATATTTTTACACGTAACTCCAGGCGGCAAACATATGCAACAACCTTCCTCCTTCTGTTTTCCCCTCAACAACAATCAAGGCTTTCATGACTAATGTGGGATTAGAACTCACCATCTCCTGGGGATTGGCCCAAAATCACCCAGTTGGCTTTCCTGTCCACAGCAGGACTAGAACTCCCAACCTGGACGACTGCTCAGTGAAGTTCACCTCAGATCTGACACTTCCTCCATCTAAAAGCCCCAACTTTCTCCACCAAGGGTAAATCTTTCCTGCACAGGAAATAACCCTTCCCCGGCTATTCTAATTTCTCAAAGAAGTTAAAAACTTGCAAACGAAACGGAGAAGCATCCATCCAACCATTTAAGGTCCAATATAGCCACCGTTTCCATCCTCTGGATCTCCGTCAGCGGTGTGAAAATTTGATCTTCAAAGGAATAGAGGTAGAGACGTCCTAGACGCACGGGGGCTTCGCTGTCCTGGCCAGGCTGTTTGGGAAGCAGAAAGACAAGCCAACACTCAACCGACCCATCGTAATAAGCCAACTACTCATCCTGGTGAAAATCAGAGCCCTTCCTGGAATGATCTGCCAAACTAGTCCGTACCAGTCAAAAGAGAATATTTGTAGCACAGGGTTGAACTGTGGGGTCCTTGGTGCTCTCTGAGCTTGGTGGTTTTCTTGCAGACGTTGCATGACCAAACTGGGTAACATCATCAGTGCCAAGAGGGAGTGGTGCTTGCAGAGTTCAGGAGAGGAGGAGAAGGAGATTGTGGGGTCCTTGGTGCTCTCTGAGCTTAGTGGTTTTCTTGCAAACATTTCATGACCCAACTAGGTAACATCATCAGTGCTAGAAGGGAAGAGTGCTTCTATCTAGCACTGATGATGTTACCTAGCTGGGTAATGAAATGTCTGCTAGAAAATCATCAATCTCCTCCTCCTCCTCCACCTCCGCACATCCCACTCCCTTCTAGCACTAATGATGTCACCTAGTTTGTGGCATTTGCTCCCTGTTTACAGTCACAGGTTGCCCTAAAACCAGCACCTGTTATCCAGATAAGCAGGGATTAACACCAGACAAACAATCAAGGAGAAAATAATATCCTAACCAAGGCCCTACCAAGGAGAAAACCACACCCGAAGGAAGAAGCTATTGTATATAAACAGGGACCAAACACCACACAAGCACTGATGAGGTTATCTAGTTGGGTCACGAAATGTCTGCAAGACGACCACAAAGCCCAGAGAGCACCAAGGACCCCTCCTTTCAACCCTACCAATATTCTCCTTTATGAAGACTGTAACTGCAAAGCCATTTCGTAAGTTTTCTCCAGCTTCTTGAAAAGATCTACAGCTCTCACCTCACTCTCCGTTTTTTTCAACTGGTAGGTGCCACAGGCCAGGATGTTGTGCCAGCCTTCCACCGGGCACCATTCTACCGCGTCCGCACTATACTCGGTATCCACCACCTGCAAAGTTTGCACCTTGCATTTGAAAGCCATGTCAATGCGCCTTCATTCTGTGCTGGAGAAAGAAGGGTGTGAGGGGGAAAGGAGATATTATTATTATTATTATTATTATTATTATTATTATTATTATTATTATTATTATTATTACGATTCTTGCCGTTGTATGGAATTTATTCCATGATCAAAGCCATTTCGGACAGATTGCCATGTTATCTAAGAAAACAAATAATCCTAAAGACGTAGCAAATGACGGTCCTAAGGATGAGGTCCTGGATCCAATATTAGCACGTTCCCACCCAAAGCCCTGCCCTGCATTTTTAAGGGAGGGAATATCTAATAATAGTGATAACTATAGGAACAGGAGTAGCCTTGATCCAATCTCTCACATAGGCCCCGCATTCCGTTATTTTTTTCACAAAGGAAATAATAACAACGGTAAAGAACAGCAATAACGACCCTCCCCAAAGAGACCCTCTCCAAAGCGCCCCCTCCCCAAAGGGACTCTCTCCAAAGCACCCCTCCCCAAAGAGACCCTTCCCAAAGCGCCCCCTCCCCAAAGGGACCCTCTCCAAAGTGCCCCTCCCCAAAGGGACCCTCTCCAAAGAGCGCCTCCTCGTGCGCCCCCCCCAAAGGGACCCTCCCCAAAGGGACCCTCCCCAAAGGAACCCTCTCCAAAGCGCGACTCCCCAAAGGGTCCCTCTCCAAAGCGCCCCCTCCCCAAAGCGTCCCCTTTCCAAAGCGTCCCCTTTCCAAAGCGCCCCTCCCCAAAGGGACCCTCTCCAAAGAGCGCCTCCCCG